TTCCTATATTTACATTCTAGAGAGGCATCAATTGTATTATATAAGTTAGAATTTCTGGTATTATGTGATGTTACCTGCACTTTGAATCAGGAAGGAGTTTAATTGTAGATAAGGTAGAATATTCCTTGCTCTCTGCTTCCAATAAGGCTGTATTGTTGCTGTTGCTTTTGAGTTCCATGTGGTTTATTTTCTATTGTGATATCTCAAAATGTCTAGTGTAACTTTTGTTGATAAGAGATGATATTTATGTTTAAAGATTAAACCATATCCAGTCAAGCCAAATTTATTCGAACTTTGTTATGTAGTGCATTTATTCTCATCTAGAAATATGGATAAGCTATGCAAGTCAAACGAAATCCCAATGTCTCCAGCCCTAGTGAATTTGTTCACACATACCTAGTATAATTCCACAAGTGGGTTTAATTGTCTGGGGTAGGTTGTACGCATACCTTACCCCTACCTTTGTGGGTTAGAGATTTCCGCTAGATCCTCAGCTCAAAAGAAATGTTTTCAAAGCAGAATTGGAAGAATAATATGACAACAAAATAACAAGATACAAAGCAAATGGGCAACACGTAGTAATACACACCGAAGAATAAGAGACTGCATGACTATTGACTACTAAATGACCCCTACCTCTCGCACATAGAGTGCGACAACACTCGGCTACTTACTAGCCTTTTACCCTAAATCTTGATTTCCAAACCTAGTGAATTAGGTCATGTTTATTGGGAATTGAACACTTGCATTTCACTTTTGAACAGGAAGGAGAGAGGAGGAGTGCAAGTATTTTCTTAGGTTGGTCCAGTTGATTTTACTCAGTTGATGAATAACACATTGATCAAGGCAGTCTGTTCTTAGATTAGCTGTCATATAGGCTTCACTACTACAATAATAACAACTATGCCTCAGTCCCGAACAAGTGTCATAGAAATTTTCATATATAAAAAGTTGCTTGTGGTTCATTTAACGATGTAGACACAAGACATAATCCTCAAACAATGAAACTTTACTCAATTTTTGTTTATTGTATCTATGTGCAAACCTCCACTAATTGTTTATTCACCCTACTAGAAAGTGAGAAAGCACATGATATTCATTTGTTCTTACCAATAGATAACTTTTATTGCCCCACCATATATATTTATCGATGACCGAGAAATCCGTCTGGAGCCAAGCTATAGGACCAACTGCAGCCTCCAAAGCTTGGGGATAATGAGTCCGCTCCTATACCCTTCTTCACTCAAGTACCAGATTTGTCTTCTTGAGGAATATCTGCAAATCTTATATTATATGGTGACCCATCATATTCTATACAAACTGTAGTTATTCCTCAAGAAAACACTCTCCCCATTATTTTCCCAGACTCCGTTACATGGAGTCATGGACATTGGTGTAGAGAGGTGCATCTAAAGGTTAGATTCTTTTTTACCTAATCTTAGGATTCAGGAATTTGGATCAATGTTGGAGTGCATGTGCTGAGGTATGACTAATAATATACATATACATTGCAGTATTAAATTGAGATGAATTTGAATTACACAAGTATAAATAAGTTCTTTTGAAGTACTAAATTTTTATTTCATTTGTATCTCTCATACAATGTTTAAGCTTTTCAGATGTACCTATATGTGCGCACGCATGTGTGTTCATATATTGCAAGTAAAAATATGTAACTATTTATAAATCCAAAAATCCAGCCACCAGTGTGTCTCAGCCATAGCTGTTGTCAACACATGCTAGGTGAGTTGACAAATTGTGGTGCTCATCCCACATCCACACTCAAATCTTGTTGGATTAACACATGATCTTAGCAGCTTGCCACCTAAGTAATGTTTGGAGGAGCTGACTTTTAAGGCTTAACGTTGAAGGGGGTCTCAGATACTGATGGATTTGGGGCCTTCTTGATGATTTATGAGATTAATTTCATCTTTAATGTGCTCGTCTTTTTGTTGTCCTATTAAAATGCTATGGAAGGGTCTCTTCCTCCAGCTATCTGAGGATCACTAGCTTGCAAGTGTTCTTTTTTGAATGAAGGAATTTTTATTTTAAAGAGAACAAAACTATGGATGTGTTGTGGTATATTGGCTAAGACTCCTTTGGTTTGAGTAAACAGTTAGATGACTTGTAAAATTGACGGCAACATCTTTTAGATATTGGTAGCATTTTGTGGTCACACTTGAGTACTGATAACCTTGGTGTTTAAACTTTTGTATGGGCGTCTCAATTCTGGAATAGAGTTTTACCTTCTTTTTTGTATCCTTTTGTTTTATTCCTTTGAAAGACAATGTGTCCTATGTTCTCCTTTTCCGTTTGATGTATTTGTTGGAAAATCTATTATCCTGATAGGACTCTAGGACAACTTTGCTGTTATTTGTCTGCTGAATCTTTGTGTAACATCTGGTCATGATTTTCATATAATATAATTCAGAGTGGGAGGACAAAGAGAAAGGCAAAGAAGTAACCCAACAATGGGAAGATGATTGGGATGATGATGATGTGAACGATGACTTCTCTCTGCAGCTCAGAAAGGAATTGGAAATCAACACTGAGAAGAAATGAGCTACATTTGCACATGAATTCGTATTCTTCTCAACGTTGGACCATGTTATTTCTATTCTGGGTTTAGATGTTTCCCTATGTTTGTACTCCTTATCTCACTGATAAAAACTTAGTTTTCGCCCTTTTTGTTGACATATGAGACTTGTGGCACACAAACTTGAATTTAGTTCCCTGAGTTCTTAGTTTGAGCTGAAAAAGTTGAGTGGTGTTTCTTCTACCTTTCAAGTTTGATGGGTTTTCCAGTATCGGAGAATCGTTGGGGGATTAGGTTTGGAGAGGCTTGAAAGCCAACATTTTACTCTGAGCAGTGGTTGAGCCAACAACTTCCACCTTTGCCCATAGTTGGAGGAACGACTTCCATACATATTGTTTGTGATGTGCTACACATAATAAAATAGTAGATTGATGCAACATTTTTTTATCAAGGCATAATACATAAATATGCCTTTTAACTTGGCCTCATTTCATATTTATACCCTCCAACTTTGTGTATGCACAAGTAGATACTTAAACTTGTATAAAATTGAACAAATAGACACAAACATCCTACATGGAAATTTGTGTCCTACGTGGTGTCCTAACGTGTATTGTGACACGTAGGACTCGCGTGTCTATTTGTGAACATTCAAAGTTGGAGGGCATAAATATAAAATGAATCTAAGTTAAAGGGTATATTTATATATTATGCGTTTTATTAATATTAAAATGCTACACCAACATATAGTCATGGCAAAAACACTCATACCAGAGAAGAAGTACCTCGGGATACCAATTTTGTCGGCTGACTCTTGAGTCCATCCAAGAAATCCATCAGATATCACACATGTAGGCGGATGCTGCAAAGCTGATAGACCCTGCTCAAAGAGCGGCTGCATCAACTTTGTAACAGTAATGAATGGACGGAAATAGGACATGGAAGGAAGCTTCGCAGCATTTTTAACACCAGGAGGGATGCCTTGTATGTCTTTAGGAAATGAGAGTAAAATCGCGGATGGAGGGGGCGTTAACGGGGGTGGTGAAGATGGTGACGGTGATGAAACGGTTGCGCAAAAGAGAGGAGAGGGATGGTGTGACCATGAGACATGAAAGGAAATATCACAAAGTGTGGTGATGCAACTCCATGTGTCCATATTTTTTTTCGCTACGAATGAAAATGGATTTGATTGATATCTAAGCAATGGGAATTGAGTGGTGTTAAATATAATATGTCCTTAGTTCGATTTTACTTATCACTTTTAACCTTTAAAAAAAAATAAAGTAATATATTTTTTTCATATTAATTACTGAAGTAATATAACATCTCAATTAATAAAGTAGTGTGATAAAATAGTTAAATATAATATTTAAAAGAGTTAATATCTTAAAAGGTCATTAAACTATGTGAAATTATCTAATAAAATCATTGAACTTTGTTTTGTATCAATAAAATCACTCAACTTAAAGTTTTTATCTTAAAAAATCACTCAACTCATTTATCTTAAAACAAATTTGATATAGCAAAATAAATACTTTTTAATGTCATGTAACTATGAACCCCACAACTGAATAAAATTATAAAATCTATTAAGTTACTTAGATTAATTAGTACTTTCTACTAAATTATTTCTGCAATATTAACGTAATTATTAGCAAATAATGATGTTAAAGAATGCCGTCGATTAGAAATTGCAGTTGCAGTTCAAGGTCGATCTTTTTGTAATTTCCTAGAATAATGTTCTGCATGTTTATGCTTTAACCTATTGAGCAGATCGATAGTTCATAGTGTTATTATCACCTTGTTTGTGTAGAGTTTTCTACTAAGAATTGCAAACACATGGATTGAAATAGCTTCTATAATACAATATTAATCTTTAGATGAAACTATTTTTTGGGTGGATCGTCGGGTAATAAATAGATTATAATTTTATTTAAGTTGAGTGACATTTTTAATACAAAACAAAGTTTAATGACTTTTCAAGATAATTTCACAAAATTTAATAATCTTTTAAGATATTAACTCCATTTAAAAATGAAGGATGAGAGTACATAACAATCACGATTCACGTGTATTGACTAGTGGACGGTGGGCATAAGCTGAGTCAACTTGGATTTGACTCTTTCTCAATTAATTTAATAGAAATCTTATTGAGAAGTAGTCTTATAATGTATGAAATTTCTAGCGTATCTATTTTCAATCAATGCTTGTTTAATAAAAAATTGCCTGAGTGTGACTATTTTGCGGAGAAAATATATATTAGCACACAAGATTTGATTTCATGCGGATATTTTTATCCCTCACATCAAATGTTACTGTGGCAGTATTCAAGTCTCCCTTCAAATTTTCAAATAAGTCTGCTGATATTGTCTTAAATGTAGCAATCTAAAATACTTAATTATTCTTAGGAAAAGAAAAAAACAAAGTTAATAACATAAGAGTTTGACCTTACACGCCGCACCAATTAATGGGAGATTAAATTTCCCTTTCTTGTAGGAGAAAGACTTACACAAAAGGTGGGTACCTATTCTTCTACCACAATCAACTATACCATAAACTGATGGGGTATAGAGTCTCATTCATTTGTATGAGAGAGCTGAGACATTTTCAAACGAATTCAAATTTAGTCAGAATTCGATAACAAAAAAAACTATACCGTAAACTCCTTATTAGATGATCAAATTAAAGCAAACGGCTATACATTATTGAGCACAACAATATGCTCAAAGGCTTAAAACATCAACAGTGGAATTCGTTTTCTTCTCAAACATTGGACCATGTTATTTCTTCCCTGAACGACTTCCATTCATATTGTTTGTGATGTGCAATGCTGTATTATCACTTGGCTGTTTGGGGGCAACTTGTGCATGCTATTTAGACGAACTTACTACTTGTATTTGTATTAGAAATTTCATTATAGAATTCAGTAACTTAAATGAACTATGATTTCGATGGCAAATTCATAGTAATCCATCACACTTCAAATTCTGGCCCATTCGGATTTCAAAGTTTTGCATCATCAATAAGGAGGCCTAATGTGGACCAAGACGAACCACCTTCTTTCATAGCTTCCTCTGCATTTTCTCCCAATTCCTTCACTTTCTTCCTCACCATTTCTCCCTTTTCACCTTCCATTAACTCTCTCACCATTTTCTCAACTTCTTCAGCTTCCACAAATCCTCTCACTGATCCATTTCTCGGCATAATTCTCAATCCCACCCCGATTTCCTCTGTCACCATTCTTGCATTTACATGCTGCTCAGCCATAAAGGGTAGTGCCAAAATAGGAACTTTAGCACATATACTTTCCAAAATAGAGTTCCATCCACAATGACTCAAAAACCCTTTGATGCTTTTGTGATTCAATACTTCATTCTGATCAACCCATTCTTTCACTATTAATGCTCTGTTTTTTACTCTGTCCTCTAACCCTGCCGAATGTTCGAGAACATTTTGCCTTGTCACCCATAAGAAAAATGTGTTGGATAATTCAAGTCCCTTTGCAATTTCTTGTATTTGCTCAGCAGAAATATCTGCCTGAGTACCAAAAGCTACGTACAGAACAGGCTGTTTTTCTGTCAATTTATTGTTTAGCCATTGCCTCCATGTTTCATCTGTTTGAGAGAGTGCTGCTTTAATGGGACGCTTGGTTAAGCAAAGAGGCCCAACACACCATGATTTTGGTCCGAGGTGTTGGTCGAAATAGTCTGCATATCTTGGTTCAAGTTCGTAAAAGCTGTTGGTGATCATGCCATGGCTCTTCGTCATGGAAATACCTTGCTCTATCATAAAATCCACGGCTGGACCTTTTGGCTCAATGTCTCCAAACGGAGGTTGAAAATCATTTCTTGTGAAGTTCAACCATGGGAAACTTGAAAACGTAAAAGACTCGTCTGCTGAAATAGTTTCAGCATGAGGACGTTCTATCCCAATAAGTTGACATATAGTCATGGCGAAAACACTCATACCATAGAAGAAGTACCTCGGGATACCAATTTTTTCGGCTGACTCTTGAGTCCATCCAAGAAATGCATCAGATATCACACATGTAGGTGGATGTTGCAAAGCTGATAGAGCCTGCTCGAAGAGCGGCTGCATCAGCTTTGTAGCAGTAACGAATGCACCGAAATAGGACATGGAAGGAAGCTTCGCAGTATTTTCAACACCAGGAGGGATGCCTTGTACGTCTTTAGGAAATGGGAGTTCGATTACAGAGATGGATACATCTTGTAGATAATCGCGGATGGAGGGGGCGTTAACGGGGGTGGTGAAGATGGTGACGGTGATGAAACGGTTGCGCAAAAGAGTGGCAAGGTGGAGGAGAGGGATGGTGTGACCATGAGACATGAAAGGAAATATCACAAAGTGTGGTGATGCAACTCTGTCCATTCTATTTTGCTGCCAATGAAAATGGATTTGATTGATATCTAAGCAATGGGAATTGAATGGTGTTAAATATAATATATCCTTGCTTCAGTTTTACTTTTATCACTTTTAATCTTAAAAAAATTACTGAAGTAATATAACATCTCAATTAAGCAATAAAGTAGTGTGATAAAATAGTTAAATATAACATATAATAATGAACGATGAGACTGCGAGTATTGACTAGTCGATGGTGGCCATAAGCTGAGTCAACTTGGATTTGTCTCTTCCCAATTAATTCAATAGAAATCTTATGGAGAAGTAGCCTTAAAGAGTATGAGTTTCTAGTGTATCTATTATCAAATCAATCAATGTTTGTTTAATAAAATATTTTTGCCTGAGTGTGACTATTTCGCGGAGAAAATATATTAGACATATATAAATATTTTATTTGTTTGACCTATTTTAATTTAACACAAAATTAAGAAAAATAAAGAAGAATTTTTAATGTAAAAATAAATCAAATGTATTGATTTTTTTTTTATTAATCTTGTGATTTTAAAACTGCACTTTTATGGTAATGTGTAGTGTCCTCTACACAGGGCGGATCTAGGAAGGTTCAAGGGTGTCACGAGACATGGCTTCGTCAGAATATATATATATATATATATATATATATATAAAATAAAAAGACCGAAATAAACCAAGATATATAAAATACAGTGTTAACTTTTAACATAAAAGTATGTGCGGCTCAGTCGGTCTAGTATTGCAATTCTTGAGCGAGGGTAGTATTGTTTGATATATTTTCTTTTCTTCGTTTGCTTTTTATTTTTTCTTCTCTTGATATTTTATATTAACAAAATATTTAATACTATTATTTTTAATGAAATCATTTTCAAAATGAAGATTTAACTTAATATATTTTTTTATTTTACTTTTTGAAAAAGAGGTATAATAGTAAACGTATGTGTATATATATATATATATTAAAAGGTGACACGGCTTGAAAAAATTTCTGCGTACACCACTGTCTCTACACCTTTATCCATTTGGTTTGTTCCTTTTCGTTATCTCTTTAAATTTTTGGATTAAAAAAAATTACCCTTTTAGGCTCCAAACTCTAGAAATACAAAGAGTATTAGAAATATGAATTATCAGACTAACCCCATTGTATAGTACTTCCCCATTTCAAAAAAGACTCGTAATACTAAATTTTACAAAAACAAGAAGTGAAGACTTATTCTCAATATGCAAGAAATTTATCATCTCGCTTTGAGTTTGTATTTTTGGGGGGTGAGGAGGAGATTGTGGCCCCATGATAGCGTTCTACGACCCTTAAACTCCTCATTTGGACCAATTTATGTGAAGTGACTTTATGCGTTGCAAATACAGTGTAATTATCTCATAAAAAATTAAATATAGCTGAACATATTCTTCGCAGTCCGTATGTAACAATCGAGGATATTGTTTTACTGTTATTATTAATTGATGTGTCTATTTCTGGTCTCGTTGTTGGCTCTTATTGATCAAGTGGTACTGTAGCAGTATTCAAGTCTCCCTTCAAATTTTCAAAAAAGTCTGCTGATATTGTCTTAAATGTAGCAATCTAAAATACTACTTAATTATTCTTAGGAAAAGAAAAAATCAAACAGGAAAAACAAAGTTAGCCGCACCAATTAATGGGAGATTTAATTTCCCTTTATTGTAGGAGAAAGACTTATACAAAAGGTGCCCACCTATTCTTGTAGCACAATCAACTACACCATAAACTGATTGGATATAGAGTTGCCTTTGTATGAGAGTGTTGAGATTTTTTCGCGCGAATTCAAATTTAGTCAAACTTTTAATATGGTTAAAAAAAAAAAACTATACCATAAACTCCTTATTAGATGATCAAATTAAAGCAAACGGCTTATACATTATTGAGCACAACAATATACTCAAAAGGCTTTAAACATCAACAGGGAAGAACATGTAGCTCTTAAATAACCTACACTAGATTATCCATCACTAACAAGCAGGACGGAGCTACAATTGGTACGGATACGGATTTAGATGAGCTTACTACTTGTATTTGAAAATTCATTATACAATTTAGTAACTTAAACGAACTATGATTTCAATGGCAAATTAATAGTAATCTATCAACTTCAAATTCTGGCCGATTTTGGATTTCAAAGTTTTCTGGCGCAGGCATCATCAATAAGGAGGCCTAAAGTGGACCAGGTTGAGCCACCTTCTTTCATAGCTTCCTCTGCATTTTCACCCAATTCCTTCACTTTCTTCCTCACCATTTCTCCCTTTTCACCTTCCATTAACTCTCTCACCATTTTCTCAACTTCTTCAGCTTCCACGAAACCCCTCACTGATCCATTTCTCGGCATAATCCTCAATCCCACCCCAATTTCTTCCGTCACCATTCTTGCATTTAAGTGCTGTTCAGCCATAAATGGTAAAGCCAAAATAGGCACTTTAGCACATATACTTTCCAAAACAGAGTTCCATCCACAATGACTCAAAAACCCTTTAATGCTTTTGTGATTCAACACTTGATTCTGATCAACCCATTCTTTAACTATCAATGCTCTGTTTTTTACTCTGTTTTCAAACCCCTGTAAATCCTCGAGAACATTTTGTCTTGTCACCCATATGAAACATGTGTTGGATGATTCTAGACCCTTTGCGATTTCCTGTATTTGTTCAGCGGAAACTTCTGCTTGAGTACCAAATGCTACGTACATAACAGGCTGTTTTTCTGTCAATTTATTATTGAGCCATTGCATCCATGTTTCGACTGTTTGTGAGAGTGTTGCTATCATGGCCCGCTTGGCTAGGCAAAGAGGTCCAACACACCATGATTTCGGTCCCAGATGTTTGTTGAAATAGTCTGCAAATCTTGGTTCTAGTTTGTAAAAGCTATTGCTGATCATGCCACTGCTCTTTGAAAAGGAAATAGCTGTTCAACATAAATAAATAAACTCATTCAATCTCAAATGTTACCTTTCAATAATTACAATTATTTAACTTTAAAATATTTAAATTATAACCACATAAATATTCAATAACTCATTTGGTCAAATTTCTTATATCTTACTTATTTTGAATTATTCTTTCTTTCTGAGAAGTACTAATATGTGTTTAACTAATTTATTTACATATACTTTTGCCAAAGTAATTTGGGAATGATCAAAGTGTTATACTCCCTCCGTCCTATTTATATGTCATTCCTTTCTATAAATAGTTGGAGCACAATACTAGAATTTATGTATAAATTACCATATTTTGTATATTATACCCTTGTTACAATAGATAATTAATCTTGTCATTTATTAATAAAGTTGACTTAAGAAAATATTAAATAATGGCAGAAGGGTAAATTTACATAATTTCTTAATACAAATGCAAAGTAAAAAGGTGACATATAAAATGGGACGGAGGGAATATTTTTTAGCTTCTGAACGTCAAAAGGTCCATACTTCTATGGCTGCTAAAAAATATTTACTTTTCTTTCTTTTTCAAAAATCTTAATCAAACACTTCAACTTTCTAAAATAAATAATTTTTTGTTTTATAAAAATATTTTTACTTTTCAAAAGATTCACCAAACAAATTATAAAACTCTATATATTTATTTTATTAAAACTCTATACTCAGTTAAACAATCACATAAAAAATTGAAACTGATCAAGTATCCCAAGAGTGTTTATATCTCTCCAATGACTTTAAAATTTTGATGAGTACTGAATCACCTAAAACTTCAACATATATTAATGTATGGATCTTGGAATACGCAAAACATATATTTTCACGTGTTTGGCTATGAGAAGTTATTAAATGAACATGTGAAGGGTCAGCATATATTATTAAGACAAAAAATAAACATAAACATTATACTATATGATGTGATCTGCAAAAATACGTACCTTGCTCCATCATAAAGTCCACGGCTAGACCTTTTGGCTCAAGGTCTCCAAACGGAGGTTCAAAATCATTTCTTGTGAACTTGAACCATGGAAAACTTGAAAACGTAAAACTCTCATCTAGTGAAATAGTTTCAGCATGAGGACGTTCTATCCCAATAAGTTGATACATAGTCGTGGCGAAAACACTCATACCAAAGAAAAAGTACCTTGGGATACCAAATTTTTGGGCGGACTCTTGAGTCCACCCAAGAAACGCATCAGATATAACACATGTAGGTGGATGTTGCAAAGCTGATAGAGCCTGCTCGAAGAGCGGCTGCATCAGCTTTGTAGCTCTAGCGAATGGATAGAAATAAGACATGGAAGGAAGCTTTTCAGTATTTTCAACATTTGGAGGGATGTCATGTACGTCTTTAGGAAAAGGGAGTTCGATAACAGAGATGGATGCGTCTTGTAGAAAATCGCGGATGGAGGTGGCGTTAACGGGGGTGGTGAAGATGGTGACGGTGATAAAACGGTGACGTAAAAGAGTGGCGAGGTGGAGGAGAGGGATGGTGTGCCCATGAGACATGAAAGGAAATATGATAAAGTGTGGTGATGCAACTGTGCCCATTTTTTTTTTTTTTTTTTTGGCTGAATGAAATGGATTTGATTGATATCTAAGCAAAGGGGGTGATGTTAAATATATATAGCATAGCAATCACGTGGTTTGGACGATAGGCGTAGATTAGTTCTCCACTTGGATTTGGTGTATCTCAAAATTTTCTATTTAGATTAAATAAAATTTAATCAGCCATAATTAATAAATTTACTGAAATTTGACAAACAATCGGGTGCGGATTTAGAGGAAAGGGATGAGGTTCTTGTTACATAAAATCGACATGGTATTTAATTCCCTTTTCTAAATTAGCTCTTACACATTATGTTTTTCAAAAAAGAGAAGAACTCATAAATAAAAATATTCTAGTCAAATTCCTCTTAACATTTAGGAATAAGTGAATTAATTCATTTGTCCAAACTTAAAATATCATTTATTTGAATCGAATGAATTAAATTTGAGTAATGATTCAAACTTCAAAGTCTCCAAATTTGGTGAGAATATACATGTAGTCTCGGGAAATAAATTACTCTATTTTATATTAATTGAATTTTTGAAGGTTTTTCATTGTTTAAAGTTCGAG